TTCAATCATACCCACTGGACACAGCTTAAAATACCGGTGTATCTTTATGCATGTATTGGCACGTTTGAAAGGTATACATATATATATATATATATATATATATATATATAATCTGCCGTGAGTTTTGGTGTGGATAGTGTGCGGAAAAAAGCCTTTAGCTCCAAAATGGATCCACGCCATTCTTTTGGCCAGTTTTTGCACAAATGCATCTTGTCAATACACTTTTTATCTGCGCAAATCTCAGGGCACCTGTATTTCTTTACCTTCCGTTTTCGCAAACTTCAGGCCTGAAAGTTCACCAACTCTGTTAGAGATCGAGACGCAAACCGGCCTTCTGGTCGTGTCAACCGCTGTTCAAGCCGGCGAGCAGGCTGTCTCAGTAGAAACACAGACTTGTCATGTGTGGTCACCCGTACCACCACTGACCGTGGACAGCTGCTCTATCGCAGTTCAGGTGATTTCACCCCGTTCCCAGTTCGACTTTTTACCAGATTCCGAGCAAAGCTGTCCTATCCTTGGCTCTGATGACCATCGTTCTCAGGTCTCTGATATTTCTGAGGCCTCATCTTATTCCCGGCAGCTAGAGGAGCTAATACACCAACTTTCTGAGGAGATGAAGGGCTACGAACACGCAGTGAACGAGATGGTGTCGATTGCCGTCACTCATGTTCCCCCTACGACACAAACGGACAACGGTTTGGAAATGCAACCTCCGGTTAACGAACGTGCCACATCCGGAGATTTGTCTGATCCATCCCAGATCGCACACAAGTTAGGTCTCCTCCAAGCTAGCTTAAAGTCTCGCCGTGCACGGCTCGCTGCGCTTCGCAAGGCACACGTAAGTGTTATTTTGACTGATGTCTCCTGCGCTTTTTGTGTGTAGGACTCAGCGTTCGGTCGTTCTTCCCGAGCTTCGCTTAAAATTCACACATTCGTTGTTATGAGTATGTTTTAACTTTCCTTTCGGTAAGTTGGTACGCTGCACCTTGCAGGTCCAGTTGTCAGTGCTAAATACCTCTCGAAACTGGATGACTTTCAGGAGTGATCGCCCTTGGCGGTCCCATTTGCTGGTTGGTTAGCCAATATGACCGATTCAGTAAAGTTTAGAACAAGTCATTCATAAGTATCCGGTGGGTCTATATACCTCCATATTCATCCTTGTTCCGTTCATTGTCTTCACCGTCGTTATCGTCATCATGGTCATGGAAGTTTTTTCACTGTTGTCTTCCTGGTGCCCGGTCGTAAGATTTTTTATTTGAAAGCTTTTAAAGAAGCAGCCTGGATTAAAGCTTCGCAAGTGACTAGGGCAAGATGGTTCGCGCCTTCTAGGCACAACGCCGAAGGTGGCTCCACATGTCCGATTCGTAGCCTCATCATAATCGATACGAAAACCGCGCACGAACGGAAATGGTGATAAAAACCAGATGAAGTTGTCTGAACTCACATTCGTTTGTTTGCTGCAATCACCTAGTTATCGGACGGCTTGCTGCTACTTTGGTCTCCGTCATAGTACTTCCTAAAAAGACTACTCTTGGATGGCTGAAACCTAACTTAACTTAACTCACGATGTTTTTCTGCAAAAATTTCATTATGAAGATCTTTCACGTAGAGCACAATCTTTCTGAGCACTTCTAAACAACCTGCGGTTCAAATCCCATACGTAATAGGTTGTCTTAAAAAGCCTTATGGTGGGAACAGGAGCAAGGGGAAGGGTCTATTATTATTGTTTCGTATCGTTTTGTTTGTTTCCCTTTGTCTTCATTTTTCTTACTCAGCACTCATCCTAAGTGACAAATGCGATAGCAAGTAACCTTCTGTGTTCATATGCGTTTTAGCAGTCACTTTTTCTTCAAAACGGAATGGGACTTGAGTCATTTTGATCCGTTTGATTGACTTAGGCAGACCCTAAAATTAGACACCCTTAACTTTGTTCCAGGTGACCTTGTGTAGGACTTGTGATGTTTGCGCATAGACTAGAAATCGATTCCGTGTTTAGTTGTTTTGCTTACGAAATAAGACTGTGTTGTAGGCACTAGCATCCATATCGTGACACATTGTGTTGGAACCTGTTAACTGATGTCTATATACCTTTTGTAATGAGGCAATCGATCAGTCATTCTTTCCGCTTACTTCCTGTTTGATATCGCAATCTGCGCGCGTCATCAGATACGTGGTTGATATCTACATATCTCTCAGCCTATGTCTATCATTGAAGATCATGACCTGTTTTATCGCGACGCACTTTAGTCTGGTTAGTTTCATCAACCGGTTAGATAAATGTTGCGAGAACATGTAGCTGTATCTTTTATGTGGAACGGAAATCTAGTTATGGGATTTATGTTTGAACTCTACTTGGAAATAGGAGCTACTGGACGAATAAAAACCCAAACATTCAGTTGAATTTCATTGGCTCATCTGAATAGGGGCGCATTCTTTCACTGTTTCTAAACTTGACCACAGTTGGAGTTCGCTATGTTTTTAGTTTGGTTGATTAGTATGATTATCACCTTTACCGCGTGCCCTGTCTGTGCATGCCAAGTGGCTGGCCGATTTTCTCTCTCTCTCTCTCTCTCTCTCCCATAGCGTCGGAAACCGAATAGATCCGGAGAAACCACGCAGTCATCGAAAGGCTCCACCACAGTAGGTTTACAGTTTTTCACTTTCGTTGTCGGTCGTAAAAAATGTCACGTAATAACTTATGTCCCTCACTTGCTCCAGTCGGTGCATTCAGACGAGGTTTTGGTAACGTCCACAGCGGTCCCTTCGTTCGAGCAGTCGGCGCCTGCAGATGTCAACGATGTGACCGAGTCTGAAGTTGATGGGTGGCAGGAAGATGACTTTCCCGATTTCGATTCGCATCCTTCGGAGGTCGAAGCCTGTGTAGCACGCAAATCGGCATCTTACGATTCTCGAGGTGATGACAAAAATATACAAACTTTACACCGTTCAGAGGTAAATGTTTATCAAAGCCTGTTAGTACCTTAGTTTGGAAGATGAACTTCGGCTGACGAGCTGTCCTTCTGTTTTTCAGTCATGTGAAACGGTTGTCTGTGATTTGCGCAAGACCATCCTAGAACTTGAAGGTCGTTTGCAAGAAGAGTCACTGGTATACCAACACCGCGTGGAACAGCTAGAAGCCTCACTGGAGCCAGCACGGCGTCTAGAAAAGTCCTTACAACAGGTTACAGATCAATTGGTAGCCTGCCTTCCACCGCCACCCGTTCCTCCTAATCACATGGTTCCTTCCGCAGGTCTAAGTTCTTCAACATGGCCTCCGAGCGATCCGGAGTCTCAGCTATCATTTATTGTGACCGCCGAAGCGGCAGCACGAAGCGAGGTTGATAAAATCAATATGGCCCTGATCAATGCACAGGAGACCATAGCCAAGCTTACTACCGAGATTGAAGAGCTGAAACAAGTAGAACCATCCGCTCCGTGCCCTCCGGTAGCCACTCTGAGCGATGAGCCTTGTTTGTTGGCGTATCAGCTTTGTTCAATTTTGGATGAGGAGTATTGTCAAGCGAATTGGGATGCAGATCAATGGGACGCCATACTATATGAGTTGTTGAAGGTGGGTAGAGTCTGGTTTATATGTTGAACTACTGGTTTTAATGTCCTTGTAGTGAATCCTGGGGTGTGGTTAGCCATCCCAATCTAATGACCCGGCTTTTGACACATGTGGTTCAGCCATTCTGTTTCTCAAGGGTAGAAGAACATTTGGTGATAGCTATTGTTTCATGTTAGAATGATAGAATCTCCGTTCTTCACTACGCGATATCCTTGAGTTTGGAGATTGATTTCGGTTCCCTTCTATTCCAAGATCTTCCTTGACACATCTTTTTCTGTGTACCAAGCAGCCACTTCGGTCGCATGTATAGGCCTACCTTGCCCTTCCACTACCAAACAGGTCGATTGAAAGGGGCTATCCCTGTTAATGTATGTCCAGTCCTCTATGAATATAGCTTGCTCTTTTTATGCGGGTTTCGAGCTTATTTTTTCTTTACAGCTTTCGAATACTCGCATATTCAGGTTGAAAGGCCTATTATTTGTTGTGTGCTTAGGCGGCAGTTAGCTAATTTTTGCCTGTTGCACTGCCATCTATCCATTCAAGCCCCGGTTTGCGGACAACACTGAATCTACAGATGAGGAACCTACCCATGAGCGCATCGTCCAGTTATCAGCTGAGGTTGCAGCACTGAGAGATATACTGGACCAACACAATGCATTTCGCTCGCAAGCCGAACACGATTTGCGTCAATTGTGGACCACCGTTTCGACTCAACGCGAACAAATCCAATTTCTTCAGACAGAAAAAGAAAGACTAGAAACAGATTTGGCCAACTCAGGTGGATCCGTCAACATGCGGCAAAATGAAAGTGATGATTTAAGCCGGACAGCCATACAGCAACTCTCTGAATTGGTTCGTTCGAAAGAGGAGGAAGTGGAACTACTGCGCCGTCGTTGTGATGATCTCAAGGAACTCATTCGCTCAGCCTACCGTCGTTTGGAGTCTGCAGATGAATCAGCTGTTGACAACGTATGTGAGGCCGGTGATGACGATATAGTTCAAGTCGTGGAACGGTTGACTAACAACTGGTCCGATGCCAAATGTCGAGCTGACCGGGTGGAAGCTCTGTATCAGTCTGCGGTCAGCGCTTTGCAGCAGAAGCATGCCGAGAGCCAATCTTATCACAAAGAACTTCAACGTGTCTATGCCGAACTATCTTCACAACAGGACAAATACGAAGCTCTTCAGAGAGAAGATGACAAACTCAGAGAAGCATTTTCAGAACTGCAGGTAAGCCTCCAAAATCGTTTTACTACACTTAACTAAGCGTGGATTCTGAATGCAACTTTTAGCCCGCCATGGTTTTTTCTTTGGTTCACTACCTCTGATTTTCGTAATGCATTTCTGTAGCTGGCTATCACGAAAAGGCTATATGCATTTGATAAATTCATTTACACACTACCCAACTACAATTTTGGAGCAATGTTCAGCTGTATAAACACACACGACCATCAATCAGCTGCAAAGCAACCATTCAGTTAAATACACCGTTCTTCTGTAATTTCCTATCGGTCAAAAGCAATCTTATGAGGCGGATCGATGTTTTTACTTTTTTCCACAGATAGGGAAGCACGCAGTAATCGTTCTTTGATATATTCCTTGTCAGCTGCTTCATTAACCAATAGTTAATATGCGGGGGACAAAAGCGCAACAGAAGTTTGCATTTGTGGTTGGTTCTTTCAAAAATGGTATCCGAATGATCATCTGAGAAGGTTTTCATCCTGTTTTTTCTCCGTCTGTCTCTGTAGAACATGGCATTAATTAGCAATAGGACAGCTAAATTCTGAGCACAACTCACTGTCACTGAGTTGTGGGAACTCGAAGGTAAATCAAAGACGGATATCCTGTACATTCGGCTACTATTTTACGGGCCTTTATGTTATCTGTCTGGCTAGCTAAACCATAAAGTTAAAGTTATTCTGGTGTCCCCAGACCGTAGATCAGTTCGGCGGAATTCGGACGGCGATAGTGTATATTCTGCGCAAGTTGAATCACGGCCGAGGGTTCTATCTCGCTGGTTGTCCACTTTAAAAAGGATTCAGTAGTTTTTAAATCGGAATAGAAGTTAGTCGTTCTCCCCTGTGAAGACGAATATATGATGAAAGCTGAAAAAATCATTCTTCATGTGTCGGTGCACTGTAGATAGATACCAAGTAGGAACTGACCTGACCAGTTATTGGAAATTGGGACAGTGGACAGTCTATGGAGGCCGAAATTGGCGGTTTGGTAATCATCGCGAAGACGTAAGCAGTTTACACAACAAATCTGACAACATATGGTTTCGAAGATGGGTTAATCTGATAGGCGCTCACTTCGAACAATGTGTTAATCGGCGTACTGTTATAACGTCCAGAACTTCAGTTTCTTTTTGTTCCGTTTTTCGTAAACTTGAAACAAGGGTATGTGACACCCACTCAAGTATTTTTGCTCCCATGTTACCCCCGGTTACAAGCATCGCTATATAGAGTGGACTTGGTTGACATGTGTTATTGCGTCATCTCAAAAGAGCACACCTACCGCTAAATCTTTCGTAAACGCCAGTCGTAATAACCTATGTCTGTGCACTATTGCCCTAGTGGTGACGCAGTCATGTGAAAATGCACACCTGCCAACCAGCTGGATATCGCTCCCTCTTGAGAAGGTTTGTACACCATATTTTAGTTGGTGGTATAAGGTATATCTTTGACCACAGTTACATTGACTATGGCTTGCCAAACACGTCCATTATCGTTGCTAACCACCTCTTTGGTGGTAGTGAGATAGTCGGACTGATACTGTTTTCGATAAAAGTGGTTGTTTGGCATCTCGTCAAGATAATGAATTTTGTTGCTGTCACTTAGGATCAGTTGATTTCGGTCGGTCAAAATAACGGTAATTATCGTCATCCACTCGGACCCTTTTCATTTCTTCGCTTTACTTCTCCATAGTTTCACAAGCGCTAGGGTTAGCGGACGTAGGGATGTAGCATCCCTATACTTGACAAACGTTTCAGACGTGTCAGACGTCCTATGATGCTATAACCCATTTTTTAACCGTTGGCTTTCCGCTTAAGTTGAAACTCTACCAACAAAGAGCCACTGGTAGCCGAAAATGTTGATGGGACCTTTTCCATATGAACTGATGTAAAGAGCTGAAGCAGTGTGCCCTCACTGGAGCTATGACTTCTCCGTCGTATCATAGCCGAATCTTTGTTATAGTCGTGCCGGATTTTTTGCTCCCCACTAAGAAAAGGAACAGTTTTGTGCGAAAAATCTGTGATGTGAAGTGGCTGTTTTCTGATACCCCGACGAGATCAAAATGAAATATCGGTAGACCGCAGTCTCTTGTTGTTGAGGCAATAGACTGGTCGGGTCACTTTGAGTTAGTTGTTCAAAAAGGGGACTCCTCTATCTGGATAATACAATAATGTGTCCGGAGGGTCTGTTTATTATCCCTCCTCTGGGAGCACCTATTATGCTTATGTAGGACTAGATCTTCTGAATGGTTACAAAGGTTCGTAATTGCGTCACTTATTAAATAATAATCTACTCCCGGGATAGCTCAGTGGTTAAGGGGCGGACTTACTGACCAGAAGGTCCGTGGTTCGGATTCAACCCCGGCATTCCGGTTTCTCCTGTCTAGGTCTGGGCAACCTGGCAGTATCTTATCCCTCATTCATCCATTGGGTGGCATGACAGCTAGACACTGAAAAGTTGTTAGAGCTGAACGATTATTATTTATTATTAGCTATCCGGTCGAAAGCCGGTGAAGCTTACAGTCGTTGCTCTCGGCGATCCCGTGCCTTCCCGTGTGTTCTTGAACGCGATAAGCTCTTTGCAACAATAACAAGCGTTTCACGTGAATGATTTAGATGGCACAATCTGAATACATGATAAGTTATCTGGGTAGCTTCGTTCACACTCCTTTTCTGTTTTCCAGACAGAGATGCTTCATCTTAAGGACCAGGAATCCCGAGTCTGTGCACCGGAACTTAACGCGTCAAACAGTCAGGAAGAAGAGCATGCAGCGTCTTCGGCTGCTCCGCCTGACGGTGAATCGAATTTCCAGTCATGTTCAGTCGTAACAAGTTCTGTACCAAATGAGGCGAAGTTACTATCTGAGATTACACGATTGCAAGCACATCTCTTGGAGGTACGTTGTGGAGTTCAGGGTAACCGGTTAGAAATAGCACTGGCCGCTCTGCGATTAGCCTACCTGTTTCACTTCGTGATTTTTTGTTTGGAGGTTTTATTGGGGCGATATACCGGTGAGCCGTGTATCCAACTTTTACATTATCCTCTGTGAATGGTTAGTACTATGTCCTGTAGAGTAGTCATTGCCACAGAACGATTGTATCAGAGTTTACTGTGTTTTAAATTGTTCTCGAATTTTAATATTAGGTTGACGATGCCAACAATACTATCTATATATTGTAGAGTAGTATATCATAGAGTGCAGTACTTTTCGATGCAGTTTTTTAACAATCTATCCGTGTTGATTTGCCTGCTGTCATCCGTAATCACCGATATCAAGTGGAGAAGGTAATCTGTTTTGTGATCTTCACCGTTTTCTTGAACACTTGACGCTCTCTTGTTCTGACAGTGACCATATTGTTCTGTTCAGTATTTATTTGGACGAACCGTGTGCGACGGTACGAAGGTCGATCTCACACATCTACCAAACAATGTCCCATTTACTAATCTAGGAGACACTAGAACCCAAAGCTTAACCTGGCACTGGTTCGCTTTTGTGTGCATCGACTTTGCATGACACTGTGGAATACTTGGGTTCTTGTAGGCTACCATCGTAGAATGAGTTATGTATTGAATAGGATCGCGAATTACCCTATTATATAGCCGCACATTATTATGGAATTTTATTCACATAAACGAGCTCACAGTCGAAGCTCTTCGGACCGGCTTCCTGAGTTACCTAAATCGAATCGCGGTCCGCCACTTTAGATCTTTTGTTTTACAGTACATTCCAACTACCTCCTATGGCTCCGTGAACCAATTGTTTGGTCGTTCTCATTCGAATTTGACCCAGTACTCTCTTTTTGTCTGTAGCACCACTTTTAAAGTTTTGTCTATATGATGCCAATGTTTGATGCTAATATTATTGGCAATAGATGGAAGAATCCTATACAACAGAAGCACTGAATGCTGAGGCACGTGAGGTTGACCTGCGTAACAGACTGCAAGAAGCTGAGACCCGCTTGCAACAACTTGAAGAATCCAGTCAAACTGTTGAGGATCGTGTGCAACGGTACATGGCTGAACGGGATGAGGCCAGAACAGACGCTGCTGAGTATCGTAAGGAGATCTCCGCACTACGGACTAGCCTAAGCAATCTGCAGTCCGTTCTTGATAGTTTCCAACAAAGTGAGCGAACTGTTTCTGGGTATCTCTATTCATCTAACTGTTTCAGTTAGGGTCTGGGTGGAATCCTTCCTGTTCGCTATTTCATTTGCATCTACATGTTCTCTTTCCGAGAAGCGCCAATAAGTCGTGTTGCACTTGGTGTTTTTCAGTCCTTCCTACTTATTTTTCCCGTATTACTTCACGGACTATTGGCTGCTACTTGCTCCATTTTTTGGAGCACCTTCTGGACATCACTTTTTTTCGAAGGCCAAACTCGTCCGTAGTAATGTGTTGATGGGGTTTTATCTTTTGGTCTGATCCTTCGTTGCATGCTACAGTAGAAGCTCTCGTATGTTTTTCATTACGGGCCGGTCTATCATATTCATCTGACCCCGGAGGGCGGTTGAAAAACTGTATCAACACGACAGATTTAGCCCTTAACTTCCTACTGACATCCACATCACCAAACGTATCCAAAAGTGGTGGCTTACCAGTTTCACTTTGGATTTCGTAAAATAAAGACGAATTTACACGGACGAAGCCCTGAAGTCGAAGTGCGACTAGGCGAATAGGATAAGCCCAATTTAATGTCATTCACCTGTAGCGCGCGGTGTCAGATGACTTGCACTTATGAGGCGGCTTGTCGTGTATTATATGTCCGAATAATTTCAATAGATTGCTTGTCGAGCTAAAATGCTATCTGTAACGTGGGCCTTGTTGAAGCAAGAAAATCCAAGTGCGTTGGACTGGTCCTAGTCAAACCTTCCTCCAATCAGGCGTGCGTCTTTCTTGGACCGTTACACCCCGAACTTGTCCCCAGTAAAGGTATGAGGCCGACAAGGTTTCCTGTACTTCATTAGTGGTATCTTCCATGATTGTCGTTCCGTGCGTACGCGGAAACAACCTGATAGATGAACACCGAAAGTTATTAGGTACTCGAACCATTAACTGGTTGATCGAGTCGTAGGAATTACCTGTTTGTAACGTTATCTCTACGCCAATGCCTGTTTTCTGCGTCGAATGATTGACAGTTTGAAGCGAATACCTTACACAGGACGCCATTCTCGTGCTCTCATCACTGTACACCCCTCTGAGCTCCTTGACTGTAGATGGTTTCTACATTTATTTAACTATTTCATCACTGATTTCAGCGGTAGACTCATTTTCTACAAGCTTCTCATGAAGGTGGTTCTCGTGAAACTTAGAACAGTGATCCGACACCGAAAAAGTTATACCGATACCTAACGAATGTGTGGGTTCGTAAATACCCGCGATCTGGGAGACCACATTATGCATCATTCTTACTTACATTGCAGTCCAATCTCGTAGTAGTTTTCAAAGTTGTTTCTAAACAGCTTCCTTTTCGAAGCTACACTTGGGTTTTCTCTCTGAAGGTATCGCAGCAGTTTCCCTGGTTTTGTGATGCTAACCACCTGGCCCACACACTAGCACACTTTCAATCAGCTTACCCGACAAACATTTAGCCAATCGTTCGTCCAGGCAGATATCACCAAGCTTTTTAATCGCGGATTGGATAATAAATAAAGCCAAGGCCATGTCAGCATGACAAGTTTTACCTTCAAAGTTGCACACACATCGAGTATTACGATATACATGCCATCAAGTCTCTCCGAATTCCAACGTCACAGAGTAAAATGGAAAAGAGGACAACTGGGTAAAACAAATGAAACTGGCCTTTTATTTCCCACTTCTCTCTCCTCTCATACAAATGGCTGTCACTCATTTTAGTGTGACACGGGCTTTTCGCATGCTGTGTTTTTGTTTGGGACTTTCCTCACGTAAGCAAATGTTTGCTGGCATGACTCATAGCAAAATCGAATGTGATTGACTGTGCAGAAGAGATATGGTTGGTCCTGAAGAGCAGTTCGCTACGCATTCTTCTTGATTAGGATTCTGTTTCTTTATATAACATTTGTGACTGTTTATCAAGCTACAATCGCCTGTGCACCTATAGTCATCCGAAGGTCGCTACAGGCAGCTGCGTCTGCTAGAAAGATTTTTGCATGACTGGTTGTCTGTTGACTTTCGGCTCTTTTCAGTTCTTTTGGGAACACCCTCAAGAATCTCGTAAATCAGAAAGTGATCCTCGTGGATTTACCATGTTGCTTACTGAAGTTCTGAGCCGTCAAAACATTTCTATGGCATTTGAGGGCCTTATTTCCGCATACTAGGTGCTCATTTACTATTGTGATATCTGTGGGTATGAACGCGAAGATAGGTAGTCTCAGTGGCTAAGTCGAGCTGGATTAGATCCCGCGTGTGCAGATTACAGGGGATGACTGATTCAAAAGTGTGCTGATCGCAAGCTTTTTTATGCGGCACGAGCTTCCGGAATTATCAAAATCATTCGGCCACATGAAACCCTCGAACATCCAGTCAAATACTAGGCCAAATCGGTCACATCGCCATCGGTTACTAATGTAGTGGATCGGCCACTGACGGTCGCTCTTTTTATCATAGTTATTTTGGTTCCGATCTCGTCTTGTTCAAGTCTCCCTTTTAATAATGTTTTTGGGGATGCACGAAGGGCGGACGTTTCTTAATCAGGAGGCTCTAGGATCTTGAAATCGAGCAAACTTATTGAAACCGTCTTCTACTCTCTTCCAACCGGTCCTTCATCGGATGTCAATATTCCCTAGAGCGCGATCGCCTAAACTTTATACAGTGCTGAAAATTATTTTTCCAACGGACTACGGTTAGGCTGCTCAAGGCATCAGATATGAGATGGATAATGACAGTGTCTGGCTCTCGGGAAAATTTTCTCATCAGTCTCGAACACAAACGAAAATTGGTGTGCTCGTCAACTGTGAATCCGGGCTGGTGGAAATGCGTAGGCCTGGAGAAATGGAAGCGGTGGATACTACTAGTAGTGATCGTAACTTATTCAGGTTTCATCTGTTTAAGGTGACCTGGAGGACTAACTGTGATCAAGGATCATAATGGATCGCTTATCCTCAGTAAGTAGGGATGCTTTGATCAGCATGTCCAGGTCTCTGAATGGCAAACTTCGTTGCTGCCTGGTGCTGTTCAGCCGACTTCTCAAGTCTGCAACTACGTTTTACCTCGAATGTTTGCAGATGCATATCCTCTCAAGAACCCTAAGCTGTTCTACTGACAGTCCCATCCGACTGCTTGAACGGTGGGTGACAGGGTGTCAGATTCCTGCAAGATAGACTACTCCTATCCATTGTACATGTCTAAATAGTCAGAGGATAAGATAAAACAAACAGACATGACTGGGAGAAAATAAATATTTGACTTTTGGCTGTCACAAAGACCTCTGTCAGAGACGGAACAGAAAGGCCCATAGGCAATCGTAATTGATATTTCAGAACTTTGGCTATTGTGGCTGTGTACCAACGAACCTGCAGAGGCAACCGAATGAATGTTTGGTCGTGCTGCATGGGTTTCAGTCAGAAAATATGTACAGAAGCACAGACCTTGGCTACCTGATCGTGTATCACGCATGCCAAGTCATCTTGTATCGAAGCGTACTGGTTTCTGTGTCCAATTCAGAGTTGTGTATGCAGAGAACCCAGGGATGCGTATGGAGACAGCTACAGTGCCTCCATTCTCAGGAGAAACTCCTCGTGATCTTCGCTATGCTCCGCCGGAAACAGTGAAATGTGGCCGCTAATCGATGTCACCAGCATTCTTGTTGCAAGTTTACATTTAGATTGTCCTAATGAGTCTCTGTCTCAAGTACTTGAAATAGGCTAACACGAACTGCTTTCTTTTCAGAAAGGCTTGGCAAACAATCTCACTTTAATTTTTCCACAAGGTTTGAAGTAAATTATTGTTACATGGTATGCTGTCGATGATGGAGATGGTATGCTCCTCAGCGATTCACAACAAACAACTGAAAATAGTTTCCCATTACCTGGATCCATGTTTCTCATCTTTTTTGTTTCTGTTCACCCAAGAGTTGTTTCTAGCTCCTGTGGCTCTCTGTCAGCCGGAATCACAGCATGGTAGAATGTGAAAAACAAATTCTGTGCGGCCAATGGCTCCATAATTGGGAAACCCCAACAAGTGCATGACATTAAGTTCTGATGAGGCACCTTTTGTTTGGTGTTTCTGCTGAGTTCCATAGTGTTGTTTGTTCCATATTTGGCATGACATTTTTGAGGTTTTTTGTTACAGCGACTTCGTCCCACCGGTGGAAATCCCCTGCATAATACACTCAGCCAGTTATGTTCACTGAACTACTCAGAGCTCTTCGAACTGTTTCCATATTGGTCTAAATCTGTTGAGCGAATCACTTCTGATCCAAGGTTCTTTCTGAATTTGGCTGAAGTGAATTTATGTAGTTACACCAGTCTTGCAATTAGCCAGTTTTTCGTGGATTTTTGCCTCGACTTCACTGGCCTTTATTTAACGTGGAACCGAAATGAGTCGCTCGCGTACTGCTTCGGAAGTTTACCAAATGTTTATGTCATACCGCTCCTGAGATGACTGGTGTAGGTGCTAATTTCTTCATCACTCATCTCTCTTGCGGATCTTAGTTTCGGCATCTCACGTTAGTTGTGGTCATTCAAAGACGGTGGAGATCAGCATATTAACGACCCGATCGATAGACCGCTCCTTAAGTGGTCTCAAAACCACCTACTCGTGCGAAAACATAATTGCTCTGCGATTTCTCTCCATCATTGTGATAATTGGATCACAGTAATCATGGTAATTAAGGCATCCTAACAACGCACTACTAGCTCTGCAATTTCATCAAATCAGTTATTCGTCTGCGCCATAAAAGCAATTAAATAAGTATTGGGTTACTCACCACATGTCGGTTTTCTGTTGCTTCTTTGCGTGGTTCGGATTCTGATGGCTGGACGAGCTGTCGTCTATGCTCAATTTGCTTGCAAAAGTGTGTTGCTCCACTCTAACAGTCGTTAATGCCATTTGTAACGCACTACCCATAAGGTTGCTGAAAATTCGTCGACAGCTCACGACCGGTTTCGCCGATCTTTGGGCTAATCACGTAGGCGCAGTCCGCGAGTTTTATTTTTGACTTATTATTGACGCTTATAGAGGGCCATAACTTATTTGAACAACAGCAGTAGGTTATGAAGTCACCGCAATGACTGCTTTGACTAGGGTTGCAGAACCAAGGTTTGTAGGGGGTCAGTTGACAGCGTGCTCACTAGATTACGGTCTAATCACATCACTGCTCGTATGCCTGGGTATGTTACAAGAGGCTTTTAGAAATATCCAATCCTAGGGAGAAATTTCTTGTAGTCATAACGCAGCAACTTTGTGCTAGATCTTTGCTTCACAAAACGGCAGCCGTTTCAAGGTACAGGTCTGCCACTAGTTGTCAGCATCCCCAGCACTTGTTATGTGGTTCCCGTTCTGCTTAGTTCGTTTCCGAAGTTCGGTTACTGACTTGTCGCTTTTCCTACATGCGTTTGACCTGTGTATTTCACCATAGCAATCCGCGTAAATACACATGATAACTGTCCGCCAGCAGTTGAACCAAGTGCGGCCAGTTTTGCCGACTAACTGGAATAAGGATTTCACTACAGCTTTGTGAACAAGTTTCACTCAGTTTCCCTTGTATTACCTTAGTCGTGTTTTAGTGGAGTTATGAAAATTGTCTTCCACTGATCGTAAAAAAATACTGAGCAGTTTGCATGTGGTCCTGTTTATTGTTTACTTATGTATTAATATCGCCACTTGACTTCGTTATCATTATTTGATCGTGGAGAATCTGGGCTGGTCGAGTCATTTTTTAGTCTCGTACGGCTATAAGAAAGGTAAAATCTAATCAGAAGCCCGACTGAGAGCAACAAAGATGTTTTACCGACTGTACGAACTTTTAGGGCACATAGTTTTTCAAAATAGTCGCTCTAGACGACCCGCAATCAAAACCATACAGAGCTGGACGAAACATTTCCTAGAAGTGTGTCCATCTAAATTTCCCATCCCAAGACCACTCGATTGTAGTATCACTTACTAGGAGGTTAAAGCACTTTACTGACATGACATGCGTAGCTGCTAATCTCTGCTTGAGTTGCAGTCCCAGCTCCATCATTAACTATTCATTTAAACGGCTAACTGCCAAACCAATTGTTATGGGTATTTGTTCGTGCTCTCGTGTCGGGGTTCATATTTTCATCGTACGACAAGGCGTTTGTCGGACAATATACATGGACACAGTCCGTTTCCTTTCGCGGGGGCTGGAAGAAGGCTTAGTTGAGTTCTCTCTCATCACATTCGTCCGGAACCGCTTATGTCACAGACAATGCACGTGCCACGTGTCACATACAGCTTATCCCTGTTTCCATCATTTACTTCGACTGTGACGTGATCCACTTGGCTTCATGACACAACGGTCTAAATACCCTTCTTCCCCACTTTACATTTGCATCCAAAAAATTCAGCTGCCGATCCACTGCAGGGAGTTGTTGTTCAGATACTTACTCATATTTGCCAGTCGGTCATTTTAGACCGCTTTTTGCTGATCGCTCCGATGGAGAAGACATTTTATGATATTAAATGTGACAAATTCAAGTGGCGCAGTACTGCTTCAATAGGTTGACCTTCAGTTGGGTGCTAGGTCAACCTGTGAACATGTGCACGAGGTTACCGTAGCATCCCGAAATTTTTCATAGCCTGTTGCGTGAATCAAAATGCGCCAAGAACTTCAGTATCAACCAGTGCTTTGGGTAAGGTCATAACGTTTTGATAGAAGTGTAAGGGATTGAACCAACAAGATGCCGTTTGCTTCTATAGATCCGATATTAAGCGACCGGGCGTCATCCATGATTATCTGTACTTGGTTTTCTCGAGTACGCTTGTTCATCTCTTGCATTTCTGTCGCAGGGTTGCCTGAGCATGATGAACGCGTTTATTACATGGTTCGCGTGTTATAGTTCAAGAGTGCGAGTGATGTTCCAATGAAAACATGAAACCGTCCTCAGCAGTTATCCATGAATGTTTGAGCGAATAAAGCTTTAAACGCCCCTCCACCAGAAAAATATAGCTGCTTGAATAACCTCTTGAGGCTACGGAGAGTTGCTGATGCTCTGCTTTGCGGTACAGTACAAATCATCATAAACCACTGCACAACTGATTTATCATCATTGTGTTCAGTCAAACCACGCATCCTCTGTGAGTTACTAATGGACACTGTGCATAAAAACAGATGTGATAATTTTACGTCGAATGGTATTTGGAAGCAATAACTCACTCGCCATAGATGAACTGATCACAATGCATAGGTTGTGTTGTCTTGATCACGTGCTCCGTATGCCAGTAGATCGACTTTTTCGAAGGGTTCTTTCTTGCAGAACCACGCGAAGAGTGGAAAAGAACCAGGAAAGGTCAAACAGTGACTTGGCAGCTAAGTGCGAAAGCCATTACCAGCAAACTCAGCTACATTGGTCATTACCATCTACCTGGATGGGGACCTCGAAACCGGCCACCTCACTGGCTAGTGACACTTTCAGACATGGCCCTGTCACGCTGTCAATGGCGCTCATGCATCCAAGCTATTGCCTTGATTGCACAACTCCCTTCCGAATGTCTCCACATAAAACTCCACTCATCATCATAATCGACAGCATGACATCAGTGTTCAACACCAATGCTTCACTGCCGTATAACCATGACTTATTTGAAAGCCTTATTGTAAAGAAAAGAATGAAAGTGGATGGGGGAGGGACTTAGTGCTAGCTTAACACAATCATTCCGAGGTGCCTACATCTCCAGACATTCACTCAGACAGTCTGGATAGAAACTGACAACAAGAACGCCACTGACATCGGTTGGCAGCCATATCTTGTAGTGTCTCCAACCAGGCACAGTGAGGATCACGCGGTCCCCATCCTGGAAGGCGAGTAGCACCGACAGCACCCAAGCGTTTCGTGGTCTCCTTCATACTCCTCTGCCAAGTCAAGGGTTGGCCACCTATCTGTTTACGCCACTCTGA